AAAGAACTGTCATCTCCTATGATAACAATGCCTTCTTCTTGAATACTTCCTGAAGGACTTGCTTGAGGCTCTTCCTGAGGAGGTATCACTCTCTTCAGAAATATATCCATGGTGATTTGCTTGGTTTGTTTCTTTTTTTCATCACAGATTTGCTTTTAAGCACATAGTGCACCATGAACATTCCTCTCTATTAATGAAAACCCTTTGGTGTTGGGGTCCATGTTCTCAAGCTTTTTAAGGAGGCTGCTGAAGTCTGCGAAGCTTCTGTTAAACCCTTCATTGTGAATTTTCTTGGAGGTTTTTCTTCTTGTTCTTCTCCTGCAGTTTCCTTTTCTCTTGCTATGATGTTACGATGGTTACAACATCACTAGGCAATAGGAATTTTTCAGCTTTATTATAATCTTATGGGACCACCATCATATATGCAGTCCATTGTTGACCGAAATGTTGTTATGCGGCACATGACCGTATTTACTTACCCAACCCTGCCCTACCCCTGCTAGAATATAAGTTTCATGAGTACAGAAATTTTTTATTTTACATACTGATGTATTCTAAGGACTTAGACCAGTGCTTGCAACTTAGCAGGTATAAAATAAATAGTTGTGAATGAATAAAATAACAACACTGGCTTTGGCGTCTAATCAAGCACCAGTTGGAAGACTCGTGTTAGGCCAGATTTATAAAAAGGAAAGCAAGGGGTAGAAAACAAAATTTCTAACATGCATGCTGAAACCACAGACTTAGTTTCTCTAAATACAAGTCTATCTGGGCAGGTTTTGCCTTCAAAATAATATAAAAAATATATATATAATATAAAAAATAAATATTAAAAAGGTCTCCTATTAGAGAAAATAAATGAAACTAACCAGGCTCATAAATACAAAAAATATCCTGGGACACTAACTGTCTACGTTTTTTCTTTCTTATAAACTTCTCCATCTGTGTAAGATTGCCCCACCCTGATTGCCAATTTTATTTTCTTAATCTAAGTTCTATTCTCATTACCCTTCCATTTCTATTTTTTATCCTCAGGGAAAGAGAGAGCAGTTACTGCCAGGGCATTCTCACGTCTTCCAAAGAAATGGCATAGGTGTTAATCTTGTATTTATGTTTGATGTGGGTAATGATGGCTACGACTGGAGCTGCAGGTTTATTAATATGCAGGGCTCTCACCTCATTAGTGGCGATGTATGTTTTGAAGATAAGCTGCAATGTTTGCTGTAATGCCGGATCTGGCCTAACAGACTCTCACTGTTCATTTTCTTTGTTTTTACCCAGTCAGTACATGCTATGCTTACAGGGCTCACACATATGCTTTTTAATAAAGACAATTTTTCCACAGTAGTTAATCTTGGTGGAAGTTTCAAATATGTTTAGTAATTATGTCTTTGCGTGATATCACATGTTTATCCTAGAGAAAAATTTTCATAATTTTTGACCCTGTAATACAAAGTATAATAAACTCTCTCCTTGGCTTTATTTGGTATTGGGGTATGCTTATTAATCAGATAAAGTGATTAATTCATAATTATTATACAATAAAAACATGCTTGAATTATTAGCATTTGATAGTTTATAAAGTACTTTCACATATATCATCTCAACCAATTCTTAAAAAGAACAAAATAATAGTAAAACCTGATTGAATATGATATTCAGTGATCCATTATGAATGGCAACTGTTATACTTCAATTTCTAAAAAAATATACAGTTGACATAATACACTATCGAATAAACTCATCTGTATCAGACTAACGAGCCTCATGGGATGGATGGCTTGTCACTCAGATTTCATTCTACCCTGCAGTCTTCACTGGATAGGCACCATAGGAAAGATTCTAGATTTTCAACAGCTTGTTTAGAAGTACAAGACCCTTGTTTTCAGGGGCAGCCTTTGGTAGGGAAGAAAATGATGATCAGAGGAGAACATGGGTACTGAGACCAAGACAAAGGAGAAAGAGCCTTAGATCCCTCAGCAATAATTCTCTTTCACCATCTTCTTTTCACTCTCTATTTTCTCAAGGCACCAGGACCAGGCCCCCCTTCCTGCAGAAGGACACCTCTCTTTGATTTGACAATGTGACACATATTCAGATAGAATTCCCATCATCATTCATTTAGAGAAAGCAAAAATGAGGATATGTGCTTGTAAGAAGGTACAGCAATCAGCTTATATAGTAAAAGTGTATAAACAAGTATATTACCTATTTAATTGCCTTAGCTGAACTTAAAAGCTCTGATCTTTAATTGCCTGATTGAACTGATCTAAAAAGCTACAATTTTTTAATCAAGGAGAAAATTAAATGGCTTTTTGATAAATAAAAAGGCATCTTTAATCTTATTTTTATGGAATCCAAGTTATTAAGTATGGACAAAAAGCTCTAAAATATTACGTTAACTACTCAATCTGGAGTAAAATTCTTATTACAGTGCTTTACAAAAGTCTTCAGGGACATCTGGCTTCTTCCACCTTTCAATAAAAACACATGCTTTTAAATCAAGAAGGTAAAAGTTTCCATGAATAACCAGGAAACTCAAAAGCTTAACATATAAATATATTTAATGAGGTGCCTTAGCACAGCATATTATTTCTATAGTTGGGTATCCCTAACTACCAGTAAATAACCATTCCTCTGCACTGTAATTCCTTAGTGTTTCCATCTAGACAGATGCAGATGCACAGCCACTCGCTGGTATTTATTTAAAAATGAAATCCTTTGAGAGGGTTTGCTGGTCCACTACCACCGCCCCCTCTCAGGCCCTGGCAGATATCTTCTTTCCATAACTAGTAGCATTTTATAGCAGGTTACTCTCTGTGGGAATTGGGCTGGCCAGCACAGACTGAAAAGAGAAGTACAGGCTCAGGATTCCTTTTTGAAACCTCTATGTTCTCAATTTGGTCAAACCTTTAAGACCCTGGTATGTCACTGATCAAAGAACGCTTTCTTAGCCCAAGTTGCATCCAGAGCTTGGAAGAAGGACCTGGTTAATCGCACTTGCACACGGTGATTACAGTGTGGTTGTACTGAGAATCTGACAAACAGCTTAGACTTTATTTTTAGATCCAGACATAAATCTATATGAAACAGGTCTATCAAGATCCCATTTCAAAAGAAAAATTTAATTATTTCTTCAAAACAAAGAGTAAAACTAAAACCAAATAATTTAGATACAGGAAATACTAGAGGTATACCTACTTATCAGCATGATTTCTGATTTTAAAGAAGAAAAACAAAGATGATTGCAGAATAACTAAACAGTATTTCCCCATCCACTATAGTCCTTAGTGCTACTAGATTCCTCACAGAAAGCTAAGGCTAGTGAGAATTCATTACAAGCCAAAATGATGCTGTATGCCCAGAGTACAGGATGGCCCTAAGGATCACTTTAATAATAACATTTGCATTTCCACGGCAAGGTCCTTTTAATGAAGGGATGCTATTGAGAATTGATGACTTCCTTGAGTTCCTTTGTTAAATGGATAGCAGATGTCCACAAAAATCAATAAAATGACAAGAATTGACCACTGTGTTAATTCCTATTAAAATGGCTATAACCACTTTATGGGTTGATGAGAGGGGGGAGGTAGGAGTACAGGGAATAGAAACAATATAAGTCATATTATGTTAAATACTATTCTCTCTTAATCTTGGTGGTGTTCTCTCACCCACCAGATGTGTTTACATGCTGACTTACACCCAAGAAGAGTAATGCTAACACAACTCAGCTCACTCTCCCTGCATCTACATTTGGCACCAACTATACTCTAGAAATAGAGTAGACCGGCTTTAAAGAAAAATTTGGTTTATGATTCCATTTAATCAGCATAAACACTCAAGAACTGAATTGATATTTTACTTGTCACATCTATATACCCTCTTCAAAAGAGGCAGGAGGATTTAAGAAGAAATTTGGAATCACTAGGATATTAAAACCACCCCAAACAAAAACAACCCTTAGTGACAGATGTGATACTACAATTGAAGACATCAGTTGTTTTCTTTCATAGTTGATACCTTTTCTAAAAAAAACTTTCCTTTAATCACATCTAATGCATATGCTGTTGCATTCCCCAATGTGCATAAAGCTAGGCCGAGCAGATGTGTAAAATGAAACAGTACTGTTAGTAACATTAGGCCCTGAAGGTGCTTTATTATAGTCTGTTTCTTTTTGCTCCAAATGAATTCAGACATTTTAGGAACATTAAAAAAAAGCAAAGGGAGGTTCCTTTTGCAACATTCAACAGTTAATCTGTTATTCTCTCAAGTGCTCTGTTAATAGACTAGGAGACTAATTTCTGATGCTTTCACTAATTCCTTCTATAAAGTTTCACTCTCACGGTATGTGAAGCAATCTCTTAAAGAACAGTGTATGATGATATAAGAAATATTAATGAAAGAAACGGGGGGCCAGCTCCGTGGCCGAGTGGTTAAGTTCGCGCACTCCGCTGCGGCGGCCCAGGGTTCGGATCCTGGGCGTGGACATGGCACCACTCGTCAGGCCACGTTGAGGCAGCATCCCACATCCCACAACTAGAAGGACCTGCAACTAAGATATACAACCGTGTACAGGAGGGTTTGGGGAGATGAAGCAGAAAAAAAAAAAGAAGATTGGCAACAGTTGTTAGCTCAGGTGCCAATCTTGAAAAAAAAGAAAAAAAAGAAAGGGATGCAATTGTATAAAAAAGTGAAGGTTTTGCATTAACTAGAGTTAAATAAGAAAAATAAGATCTGTCACTTTCAAATATTATGAAACACAATTTTACATGTTTGGTAAACATGATTCACAAAAATATAATACCAAGTTTATAATATAAATCAGAGCAGTTGAGGGAGAAAATAAAAAAATAACATTTATAAAGCAGCCATATTTTTGACTAGCAAATATATCAGCTGGCTTAAATATCTAATCATTTATTCACTATAAAAATCAAGATGTTCAGAAAGCTCCCCATCCCACCCCAAATTAAGTTAGAGCTTGTAAGCTCAGTACCTACCTCTATGTAAAATCTTTAAACTCCACAAATAGGTAAGGCCTTTAACAACCTAAATTTAAGAAAGACAAAACAGTATGATGATGGTTTTTATACGGAACTCTCCACATGGTTAAGCATATAATCATAAAACCATATTCTTCCTTTAAAACTCTGTGAACCAATAAGCATTTATTGAACATCCCCCTTTTCTGTGCCAGGCTCTGTGCTACCTTCTATCTGGGAAATTTAATCATTAAAAGCTTTAAAAATTTTTATATAGAAATTGTCGTAAAAGGAGATGCATATGTGTTTATTCACACTCACTGACCCCTTATGCACATGAGTGTCAACTTACCAATTTCAAGGCTGACTATTCATAATTTGGTATCAGATACAACGAAGGAACCACTATTACTCAAAATTTGCTGTAAGAATTTAAAAGCACTTATCATTACAGAAAATTTTAAGTGAGTAAGGATTATAAGAACAAGAAAACCTACCATTATGAGAAGTAACTGAGTAACGAGGAAAAGAGGGTTGGGGGCTAAATATGCAAGGATTTCAGCTGATCAAGAAAGACTAAGAGCAGTATTAAAAACAGAAATGCAAAATGAGAAACCTAATTTCCAAATACTAGAGATCTAGAAGAAGATAAAATCTATATCAATTGATGCTGAGCAGAGGTTAACATATTTTAATTGTTCTCACAGAGTGGAATGTACTACTGAAAGATTTGCTAACATTATATCATCAATTCCATGTTTGTCTATTTTAAGAGAACAGAATACATTTTACAGCAAATAATTTTTTCCAGGGTTTGGAATAAGTGGCATTACAATAAAATACATGTGTTTTGGACAATAAGATAGTAAAAAAAAGAAAACATCAAAATAGTAATAATGATAACTAATAAAGAAGGAGGAAACAGGACAAAAATATTTCCTTAAATGCTTATACAAAATAACAGCAATAACGAAAATAATTTTTTCTTTGAGTAGTAGGACAAAATCATCTTATTTAGCATGGAAGTAATCATCTTCTGAGTTCTGGAAATAGGGTTAAACTTCTCAATTTACAAGCCTAGTTGCATACTACAAACCTTCCCATTAAAGATAGCTTACCACTAAAACTTAGTCCCATAGAAAATGAATAGTCAGGAAATGCACAAGGGGAAGGCAATCCATCATATTCAGATTATTAGGCAGGAAAAAAGTAAAACGAATACTGATTTTATGATACCTGCTAAAATTATACATTTTGTTATAGATTTAAAAATAAAACATTCTTCCAACTTCGTCAAAATATATTACGTTTTCCTTTAGAAGCATATAAGAATCAGTGTTCAGGGAGCTAGAAATCTGTTCACTGCAAATCTAGAGGGTATTATGTATTGGTATTCAGTAGGCTAGGTTTCACCACAATGACTTGACAAAGCCTTGACACTAAAAGTACTTATATCTGCTGTCAATCACTCACTCCTTGACATGTCAAGTGCAATCCTTTCAGGGACAACTTCAATCAACATTAGCACTCAAAATACAGTACACAGTGTCACTGCTTCAGAAATGAGAGGGAAAATAAAATGCGTTAGGTGGCAGGGAAAGGCAGAAAGGCATTCCTCTTCACAGGAGACCAGATTCAAACGGAAAGTGGATAAAAATCATTGAGCAAGTAGGAAAGCTGAAACCAGCCAGTTTATATGGATTTCTTTCTCTGGAAAAAATATTGTCTTGTCATACATCCTACAAGAGAAAATATGAACAACATATCATAAAGGCTACAGGAGTCCATCCTGTAATGAACCTTGGATGTTCGGACTTCAATTGCACTCCAGATTACTAGAACCTGGAAAACGAAGTTAACTTGGGAAGGGAAAGATGCCTAGATGTGGTGCTAAGATATGAAAGGAATCTGAAGCAACTGTATATGTTACCCCATTATTCTCTCTCTCTTTTTTTCTTCTTAATCTTGTTCTCCTTTTCACTCATTCCTCTTCTTTTTTCTCATTCTCTTAGGAGAGCAGAATGAAAGAGCATGGGGTCTGGAGTCAAACAACGCTGGCTTTAAATTATTCCTGACTAGTTATATGATAACTCTGGGCAAGTTATTTAACTTTTGTAAACCTCACCTTGCACATGTATAAAATAGGTTCAATAATCTACACTTTGCAGAGTTACTGTAAAGGTTAAATGACATAATATCCATACCTAAAAACACTTATCAACGATTGGCACAAAAGTATTCAATATACATCTATTTCCCTCCTCTCTTTTTTTGATTCTGTTGCTTCTGACCTAGCCACAGGACCCAGGTGCTTTCTCGGCCTCACTGAGGGAACTCAAGGGAAGGAGGCTGATGCTGTCTTCAGAACACTAGAGGAGAGATAATAAGAATACTGGGAACTCAATCAGGCTTTGAGAACGTTTACTTTATAAATGATGACCTACAACCCCTCAATTTGTTGGTCTTATTTTGATTGGTAGAATCCTTCCACTGGTGTTTGTCAGCTGCAACAAAGGATTAGCCATGTTTGTACCCCACTCAAATTACATTTAAAAATACACTTTGGAGGCATTATACAAGTGCAGGCCCCAGCAGAGTTTATAAAAAGTGGCAGATGAAGAGCAAAATTATCAAAAGCATTTCTTCTACTCTGGCCACAGGCAGTTTTCATTACTATGACCTGATGAGCCATAAAAGCTGGAGAAATTGAACACATTTTAGAAAGGAAAAAATCCCCAAAATTCTAATTTTTAAAAATATAAGGGCAAATATAAACAATGCTTTGGGTTAGCACTTATTTTAAATAGCTTTCACTAAAATAATTTTTGTCATATTTTCAATTACCCAATAGGTAAGCCCTATATTTGACGCTGGGTTATCTATTTTTTTTGCTGACTCCATTCACTTCACAGGCTTCCCACTCCAGTAGAATTGAAACCACCAGTGGCCTTGTGTGGATGCCCTACAAATGAGGGAGGCAAGATTTATGAGGTTCAGGAAGAACATGCTTCTCTAGTGAAGAAGGCAGATTCCTATTTTAGTCAAGTTCAACAGATAATTGAGTACACAGAACTCATAAACTTTTTTCATTTTCAATTGGTATCCTTGCCTTTCTTCGTCCTTTATTATACGTGTTATTAAACTTTAGAGCCAAGAACTGCCAAAAGCCACAAAGCATTCATTCCTCCCGAGATTAAAAGAGGAAATGAAACATTTTTATTTTCATCTCAAAAAGGGATTTAAGTACTCAAATATCATACTAATCTACCTAAACATGTAGATTAGAAGCTACTTAGCAGCAACGACATCAGAAGAAAAAGTTCTCATGGCTCTGGGCAGTTCACACTAATAATTAGAAAGAAAAAAGGAAAGCTGTGAATTACAATGAACTAAGACTAAATAAGTGTCCATGTTGGATTAAAGGATTTGAGTTGTCAGTTTGATGTATAATGAAGGCGAAAATCAGCCATTTAATTAAATAGTACATGGTATAATCACTTTGTTCTGCATTAAACTGCTTAAGTTATCAGAGTGCCTTTAGTTTAGCAATTGTTTACTATTACACCACCCCATGACTTCTCTTAGACACTGTTTAGCCTACATCATCCAAATTTGAAATCTGGAGCTCATACAGTAATCTTAGTTTAAGTTGATATATTTCATCAGTTTATTAGTGAATATAGAAAACAGGAAAACTGTTTTTAATCACAAAGGAAATAAATTCCTAGATATAGTTGGTGAAAAAATTAAAAACCATGAACATATAAAATCTGCAAACATCTTTAAGAATAAAGTATTACTTTCATATAGACTGTTTTATTTTGATAATTTAGACTTGAAAAGTATTTTCTAATCATACGCCTATAACTGCAAAACGTCTAAACATCAGTGTCTTTTTGAAGAACTTGGAAATTTTACTGGTTAACAAAAGCATCAAGGTCCCTGCAAACTCACGGAACTAGAACAGGTGAGAGTACCTATAAGCCTGAATGATGTCATGTGACTATGTCGTCACTGAGGATTGGTCTATGAAAAGAAGAAAGGACAAAAATGATAAGAAAAGAGAGTTAAGAAGGCCTGGCAGTCAACAGGGATTGAATAAAAACAAAAAAACGTCCTGAGGATATAAGGAGAATCAGGTTTGACTAGAAAGGTCAAATCACCAAATTTCATAAGGTTGAAGCCATATACTCACTGCTACTGCAATTCTTCCAAGGACATGCTCTGGAATTTTTCTATATACATCCAAAGATCCCCCTGTAGAGGCAAATATGCTGTGTTACTACACATGAAACTACTGGCAAAGTGCACTCAGCCCCTCCTCTATGCACTCATTATGAGAACATTTTTTTCTCTTCTTATATCATGCATTGGATGTCTAGGGTAAAACTGATTTTTAGTCCAGTTTTATTTATGACATAATCATACTTCCACAAGAAGCATAACTAGATACTTCCATTTTATTCCCAAGTGTATAACAACACACATGTAAAAACTGAAGGAAACTAGTCAAGGGCAGACCAAGAACCTGCATTTTACGTAAATTTAAATACATACACAAAACTAAAGATCAATAGGACAATCACATTTAGGTATCTGCCTTGTGTAACAGTTTTTCTCAAATGTAAACTAGGACCCTATCTTAGAATTTTCACATTAACCAAACAAAAGCTGGTAAATATAAGGTCCAAAATACAAATAAAAACTAATAATGTAAACATCTATCTAAATGAATGCTACCCTTCAAATTAGGTACCAAGATAAGCAATCAATCTATTCCAAAGATTCTAAGTTCAAAATGATATTTTTGGAATTTCTCTTTGAGGCCACTTTGAAAACCCCTTTATGGGGGTAAAAAAGAAAAACTAATCTTAAGTCATAATATTTTTCACTAAAATGGTATTCACTAACATCCTTCGCCTTTAGCAAATTCAGCTTTTGGCAGTTTCCCCAAACCAAAACCACTAAACTGTGAACATAATAAAGGCAGGAGTCATGCTGTTTGTCTTTTAAAAAAATTTCACCAATCTAGAAGTTAGCACAACTAGCAGATAGTAGATATTCAATAAATATCTGTCAGATGAGTAACAAATTAAACAAACGAATGAAAATCACTTTGAATTTCACCAGATAGGCACTCTGCTCTGAAAGCAGTTTCAAAAGAAGGGACTGCAAACCCTTTGCAGGAACAACACCATCACTCACATAACGGCATAGCTTTCCTAGGAAACTATTTTAAAGGAACAAATATTCACTTGGAAGTATAAATTTGGGCACGCTTGTTAAATTTTTAATCTTACACAAGTAGTATAAGAATTTCAGGAAGATATGCAAAGAACCACTACTTTACTGATATTAATGATATGATTATATAAGAACTATTTTAACAATGTGTAATAACCTTTCTTTGAGTCAAGCTGAGGTGTAGAGTCTTTCAGTTCCTATAAAGGAATTACCCAGGATATCTGAGAGATAATTTCTGTTTCTATCAGAGGCTAAAAATTGATATTAATCACTTCTGGATGATTTATAAGTATGCTTCATAAGGTATTAACATGGAACATGTTATTCTTTTGAAATGAGGTTAATTCTATTTAGCCAAAAGACTATTTTTATATGTCAAATTTTCCTAAAACTGAACATCAGAGAAAAAAATTTTCCCCTGTAAAAAAAATATTATATATATATTAAACATATTATATACCTACTGGCTTTGTATTTATCCTGTTTAAAGCAGGCAAATGATCACTTCTTTAAGTAACTTTGGCTTATAGTTTCCAGATTCTGACAAGAAGCTAGAAAACCACAGTGTGACTAAACTTTATGCTTTGGCTCTGGGTGCTACTGGAAAGATAGTGAAAAGAAGACATTTCTGCAATGAGCTAACCATCTTTATTTACTAAAATAGCATTTTTATTATGGATGCAATAAAAGTGAAAATATGATAGAAAAAACATTTTATTTCTCACTGATCTTTCAGATGAACTGGCAGTTGCAAGGATGAACAGTCTCAAGAAGATCAAGCTTTACATGTTGATATTTGGAATACTGACAAATGCAGTTTATTGGGCCAATCCCTTATGAAGTGAACAGCTTGCATGGCTCAAAACTAGAGGTACAAATCTATTCACATATACTAGTAAGAAGTCCTAAGAGGAGATTTATTTTTACATAGGATATAAATCTGGAATTAATTAGCTAAATGGACAGTAGTCAATAAGCTAAACCAAAAAGCCAAAACTTACGTTACTACCATTAACTGTAGAACAAACCAAGGAAGAATCTCATTTTGAGGTAGTTCACAGGTTTTTGTAAATATCCACTTAATTTCAGTTATATTGTACTCTCCCTAGCCATCCAGGCTGGTAAATCTTTATATAGCTAGCTTTGTGTCATCACAGATTCATCCTGTCCTTGACATGCTCATTAGAGATAATTGTCAGAGGCAAAAACATGATGTAGCAGATCCACTCAGAATCAAGAGTTCCTATTAAACCTATGAGTTCCGTTCGTGCAGTTAAAAAACTCTTATCAGGGTAAAAGTGGCAGAAGCTTTTCACTTAAATGTTTACTCACTTTTACTATCATTTCCATCCTACAGGCCTATCCCCAAAAGGCAATTCTTAGACTCACCAAATCATTAAACATTAGTGCTAGAAGGACATTAGAGATCAGTCCAATGACTTTATTTGACAAATAGAGGAAACTCAGTCCCAGGGAGGTGAGTGTTCTAGCCACAGCCATGAGTCAATTAATGGCAGAGCTCAGAAAAGATCTGAGCGTTTCAATTCCCAGAACTGCAAAAATTGAAAAGCTTTCCCCATAATATCATACATAGCTTGAAAATCATGTGTGAACTTTTCACAGTTTAAAAAGCCTCACTGCAATGTGATATTCTATGACACCTACCCAGAGAGACAGTTTAATCTTAGCTGAGATGGTGGCATTCTAGGCATTTAGAAACTCATTTATCTATGGCACGGTTGGTTTGACCCTTTTGCTCGTGATTCCCAGGTCACTGGTTTACTCTCCATGACCTGTCACTTCCCTTGTTCCCTGGCCTCAGATCATCCCTGGCCAATAATCTCATTGCATGCCACTATCCACCATGGGAACCAGGAGGAAGAGTGCTAATAGCTTACCAAAAAACACATCTCAACTGCCAAACAACTAAATGTTTGATGAATCCGGGCTACCGTCTTCACTCAACTAGGCCAAAAGGACTCATATAGTTAGGTCTGCGCTTATCCTAATACAGGGTCTAAATATAAAGTAATGTCTTGCATGTAGGATAAACAGAAATAATGTAGTAAATGAATGAGAAGCAACATTCATCCCAACATTTTCCCTAAAATGACAACGATTATTATTAATACTAACAAAACTGAAATCTGAAGCTACAAGCAAAACTTTGAGAAGAAACTCTCTTAGCCTCTGCTAGTTGAACAAATAAAGAGCTCTTTCTTTCTTTGCAATATAGGTTTTTGGAGAAACAATTTATTGCCATGATAGCAATCCAAATACATGTATGTATATTCTGAGATGGTCTATTTCTGAATGGATTTAGTTCTGACTTAATGAAACAGCATATCATATCATTCCCCTACTTGAAATCTTCCAATGCATTCTAATAAATTCAGACTGAAACACAAATTCTTTACCATGACCTACAAGGCCTACACAATGTAGCTTCTTCCTATGTCTCCTGTCTGGCCCCAGGTCATCTCATCACTACTCTCTAGTCATCTTGGCCTTCTGACGGGGCCTTGATTACCTCAAACTTGCTTCTACCTTGGAGCATTTATATTTGATAATCCCTCTGCCTCAAAGATCTTCCCATGACCTTCCCTGAGTTGGCTTACTGACATTAAAGTCTTTGCTAAAATGCCAGCCCCCCATAAAAAAAAAAACCATCACTGACCATCCTATGTAGCACCTCTGCTCCTGTGAGTTCTCATCTACCTGCTTTATGTTCTAACCAGAGTTATCCTTCTCTGAGAGTGCATTGTATGTTTCTTGTCTGTCTCCCCTCCTAGAACTTAAGCCCCATAATGACAGGGATTAAGTCTTGTTCACTGTTGTATCCCCAGGTTTAAAATAGTGTCTGAAAGAAAGTGGTCAATAAATATTTAGAAAAAATGACTAAGAGATTAAAATAGATAATGAGAGTTTACACTAAAGAAATAGTTTTGAAATTGGGAGAAAGTTGACAAGAAGTTTAACTGTAATGGGAAGAAGAAAGAAGGAATGATAGCTAGAGAGTGGTACACTGTTTTTGATCCATATTTTTTTGGGTACATTTTGCTGTACTACAGAGAGAACGAAGGTCAAAAGACAGAGAGTGGTTGATGGAGAGAACTCCACCAAGTGGATGCACATGTGAAGGGACTGACCTTAAGGAGCTCGTCATTTGAGAGGTGGATCAGGCGGGTGCAGTTGTGGCTGAGCTATAGGTTAAAGAGCAAGTAAGAGAGCCCATACCTGATGGTCTATGTTATCTCTGAGAGAGAAAGAAAAAGACAGATCTCGGGGAGGGTAATAAATTTCAGAATAATTGATGTGGGAAACAACAGGGAAGACGGGAATGAGAGTACAAAACTTAAGAACTGGGAAATTTTAGCGTTCAGGAACTGGTTAGCATGGAGTAAAGAGAAGCTGCCAAGCAGCAGTAGGAGAAAGAGCTTTAAGCAGCTCAAGTCCAGAAAGTGAGGAGTCCCAAAAAAAAGGTTAAACATAGGCTGTAAAGTGAATATTTTGAGGTAAGAATATAAAGTATTAAAAATAACTAAAATGTGACATCAGCAAAAATGGAAGAATAAGGACCTTTGAAAATTCTCTTTTTCACAAAAGCAATGAAGAAATAGACAAAAATGGTCAGAATCAACTTTTTCAGAACTCTTAAAATTACCCAAAGGATTGCAGCAACCCCCAAATTATTTATTCAAGATAAAAGCCTGAATGTTGGTAAGAACAGCAAGCTTTGTGGCAGTTTAACTTGTTCTATTCCCATTGCCACCTCTCCAGCTCCACTGCAGCCTTGAAAACCAGCAGCCTGCAACCACAGTGAACACCAGAAGCTTGATAGCCACTGGACAGGCAGAAGTGAGCAGGTGCTCCTTCAAATCCACATTCTCAGAAAAGTTTCACTTTTGACCTATCTGGCAGTTCCCTGGAAGACCTCACTTGCACTGCTTTCTATAATTGACCAGACTCAGAGCTTGCCAAGTAAAAATGCCTTTTCTTTAGGGGCATTTGTTGAAAACAACTAAAAGCAACTGATTAACTTTGCAACTGACTGAGGTGGTGGATAACAGCTAGAGTAAACAATAGGCTAAACAAAAATATTAAAAGACACACAATAACCAGGGTTGGCAAAGACGTGGAGAAATTGGAACCCTCATACATTGCAGCTGTGAGTGTAAACTGGCGTAAAATGAAATGAAGCAGTTAGGCACTTCCTCAAAAAGTTAAAAAGAGTGACCACGTGAACTAGCAATTCCATTCCCAGATATATACTCAAAAGAACTGAAATCATAGGTGCACAGAAAAACTTGTACACAAATGTACACAGCAGCATTATTCATAACAGCCAAAAAGCAGAAACATCCCAAATGCCCATCAACTGATCACAGAGTAAACAAAATGTGGTACATCCATACAACAGATTATTATTGTCATAAAAAGGAATGAAGTACTGATACACGCTGTGACAGGGATGAACCTTGAGAACATTATACTAAGTGAAAGAAGCCACACACAAAAGCCACATACTGTATGATTTCACATATATGAAATGTCCAAAATAGGGAAATCCATAGAAACAGCAACTAGATTAGTGGTTACCAGGGACCAGAGGGAAGCAGGAGTGAGAGTGACTGCAAATGGATAGGGACTTTGTTTCTAGGGTGACAAAAATATTTTGGAATTAGTGGTGATGGTTGCACAACCTTGTGAATATACTAAAACCCATGGAATAGTGCACATTAAAAGGGTAAATTTTATGGTGTTTGAATATACCATCTCAATAGAAAAATTTTTTAATGTAACTAAAAAATTGAGGACTTCAGGAAAAAAAAGATGAAAAGTCATTAAATAATAACATGTACTGGCTCTATGAACCCACTTTTTCAGTCAGTCTCCTTGAATAGTAATTGTCATACTACCTATATGGTTCTAAGACTTAATTCTTGGCATCCACTATGACTAATTTAGAACACATGATACACCTTATTATAGTATCAAGGTATCAATATTGGCTCATTGAAAGGTTTTGTGGGGGACGAACTGCTTTAGCAATGTATTGAGAATCCTCAAAATGAACTGAGTATATGAAAGAAAAAAAGTTGTGGGCCGGCCTGGTGGCGCAGCAGTAAGTGCACACATTCTGCTTTGGCAGCCCAGGTTTTGGTGGTTTGGATCCCAGGTGTGGACATGGCACCGCTTGGCAAGCCATGCTGTGGTAAGCATCCCACATATAAAGTAGAGGAAGATGGGCACAGATGTTAGCTCAGGGCCAGTCTTCCTCAGCAAAAAAAAAAAAAAAAAAAAAAAAGAGGAGGCCTGGTAGCAGATGTTAGCTCAGGGCTAATCTTCATCAAAAAGTTTTTTTAAAAATAAATTAATTTAAATTAAAAAGCTCCAGAAAAAAAAAGTTGAGTTTTAATGGGCTAGACATTGACAAACTGAATATGTAAAATTTAATGACTGTTTTGATTTAAAATGGGTAAACAATACAATGATGACACCATTTCACTAATAGGGTACCAAGAAATCTGCATTTTGCCATAATATTCAGATCAAGAAAGAGTTACCCAAATAAAAATGAATAAAAAACACAGAAGGAAGGAAAGGGCTAGAGTCCAAAGAAAACTAAACACATCTTGGCTAAACAGCTGTGTTGAAAAACAATTTCTTATCTTGCAATTAAGAACCGATTTCTTTCTAAAAGACACAGGACATTGGGTTAATAGATTTCTTTAAAAGAAAATCCGTTTTGGCTATTGAAACATTAAAAGAACAGAACATCTGTTTTGCAAGTAAAGACAGATTGTATGGAAGAATCAAATATCAAACCACTGATTAGACTAGCATTTAATCTGTTCTATTTAAATTTTCAATAAAAGTAAACAAAAATACATTCTTGAAATGATAGCTCAGCTCCAAATATCTAACACCAGGAACCCCTAACACTAAGATGTTTTAGAGTATACAGGAGGTAATTATTAGTATATTTCAATCATTTTTAATTCTGCTTGACATCTATTATCAGAACCAGGTTTTAAAACACTCTATCCTCAAAACCATTTTTAAAGTATTATAAAAGGGAAAACTCACCATCCATGAATTCTGTACATATCGAAATTCTGTTTTCTACAAAAAATGCACCATAAAACCCTATGATATATGATGAATCACACTGTAACAAAAATAAAACAAAAGTAGTTAAAAACCTGCAAGCCAAAACTATAGGTATGCTTTATAAGAAAAAATGACCAAGAAAAAATTACCTTATAAAGAATTTCCAACTCAGACATAATTTGTTTCTGAAGTTCCAGTGTAATATCTAGTAGTATGACCTAAATATAGAAAAGGAATCAACATTCACACATTTATTCACCTTTAAATTAAATATAGCTATATTCACTATGAAATATAAAATCTAAAAAGTACGGTGTTTATTCATTCACCCTTTCTCCTCCCCACCACCATAAACCCAGTAATACAAACTGTATCCACATCTGCCTGACCCTTTGTATTGGGAGAGGTGGTATAGAAGTGATTGATGGGACCAAGGAAAAAGCAAGGTCTCAAAGGTCAGTATTAATGGCTTTAAAAGTCAGTTAAGTTCTAACACCCTTAATTTATACACCCTATTTTGGCCACATTGGTTATTTTGAGAAGAGGAAGATAGAAATGACCCTGAAACCATTAAAAAAGAACTGTCTTATAATTTAGACACTAGGCGACAAGCAGAGAGCATGAGTAAAAATGACATGTAGAGTAGGGTTTTTAGCTTTGAGAGAAATAAAGAATTTTTAAAATACATCATCTTTTTCTATTCTTCCAGGTGGATAATGTTTCTTTGTTAACATTGTTATAAAATGTTGGAGCTTGAAGGAATCTCAGAAATCTCATCTAATCCCCTTCTTTCAGAGAAGGAAATCAAGGTTCTGAGGAGCGGCAATGCAGTGACAATGTCAGGGCCCCTCTCTGACTCTGAGGAACATGCACTTTCCAGTATGTCCTGATGCTTTGTGGTTTTCCTTAAAATATCAACCACTGAGTCAGATTCATAACATAGAAATGTAAAGTAGTTTATTTATAAACTTACCTAGAATAAATTCTAGTTTATTTCAAACACCTATTTTTCAAAACCATCAATCGTTCAAATTTTACTTAACACTTTAGTGAAGTCAATTCAAGGGAAGTTGTTCTTTACTTGAAAAAGACAATGATAAGAATAAAATAACTGGAAGGGAATTTTTAAGATTTGTGGCAGAGTTTCTGATTCTAGATATTTCTAGATAAAAATTCAACATTCAAGATTACTATGATAGTGTAGTTATACACCATCCAATATTAAACTACATTTTTATTACAACTGCAGAATACATATAATCATACTGGAGGAAAAAAACAAATTATGAATTGCAAACTACTGACAGAGTAAGGAAAGAAAAGGATAATTCTAAACCACACATTTTATAGTACTGACATCCATTTGGGGGGGAGAAAAGTGAGGAAAAAAGGCATAGCCAGTTTCTATGAAGAGTTTGCTTTAGGGTTATTTATAAAAGCTCTCACTAAACTAGATGGTAAGTGTAATACAAAACTGCCCAGAAACATTTAAACATTTCTCCCAATCAATAGTCATTTGCCAACAATATTCACTTACATTTTTGTTCCTGTAGAAAACTTCCAAACAAAATAAAATCATCTAGTCTTTCAATTCTATGCCAAAAAATATTAGAGCTATTTACATTACTATGTCAAATACAGGGAATCCCTCACCCTAAAAATCTCTGGTAAAAGGAATGAAGTTATTATTTACCTTAAAACAATGGTTCTCAACCCTGGCCTCACATTATACTTACCTTTATATAAAGGTATTCATATAAATATATGGGGGTACTTTAAACAAACCCTGATGCACAGGGCTTACCCCAGAATAACGGAATCAGAATCTCCAGGGTTGGGCCCACATCTCAGTATTTCTTAAAAACTCCTCAGATGATTTCTAACCCACACGAAGGTTGAGAACCACTTACTTAAGATTTCAAAAATGTCATTATTCAGTGCTTACTATGACTACCAAGACATCCCGCATCTCCAGGCCCCAATCTGGAAATGATGTGATTCCCCAAGGCTGGCCAACACCTTAGCATTAACCCCAAACTACCGGCCGTAAACCCATCACTCCCCGGTCAAGAACCTTAATTGGGTTCCCACGGCCTAGTACTAAGTTACAATTCCAGCATGACATTCAAATAATTCTTCCACAATGTAGCCCCAACTTGTTATTCTAACTCCTTCTCCCACTACTCCTCACCACAAACCCAATCTTTACATGAAATCAGATGTTTTACTGGTCCGCAGACATGTCCTGTGCTCTCCTCCACTTCCAGTCTCTGCTCCTGCTATTCCCTCCACCTAAAGTGTGCTTCCTCTCTCCATTCCAGTCACTAATTGTAAAACCTTTTCTATCTTTTAGACCCAGTTTGAATGCTGCCATCACCTCCACAAAGCCATCCCAAAGCCCTCCATCAGAAGTTATCTCTAGCTCTGGCCCTTTATATTTCTCCCGATCACATTCAGCCTTTAGCATCTATGCCCCATCTCCTAGTAACAGAAGCCTAGATGGCAGAGCGGCTGTGAGCCCCTCAAGGGCAAGGACTGAGCCTGTGCATCTTTCTCTGGCCCCTTTCCCCGACACCCAGCACCCCGCACAGGGTCCTACAGTAGTGCCTAATAAGTGATGTGGGATTTAACTAAAGTGCTCCTTACAACCATAATCCTCTAAATAAGAAACTGTTTCTAGACAGGAAGGAAGAGGACTGCTTACTTTCTGCAAAACCAAAGACAAAAACACCAAAACAAATAAAAGTGCCATACTGGCCTAAAATGTAGCAAGTAACACTGTATTTGTAGGGCCAATCCACTGCATGCTAATAGGTCTTAATCATTCTTGGTATTTGCTGTCGTCCAAAATAGTGGAGATTCCATAATGATGCAAAAGTGAACAAAGTAATTCCGTGGAACTTGAGAGGGAAAGTAAAATCCACCTTAACAGAAGTGTACTGAAATGCCCATCTCTCGTCTGGGAGATGGCACTCTGGGTGGAAGGTCAATGCCCCTTCCCCTGGGCACTCCGGTGAGTGAGCTTTAAAACTGCTAAAAATAAACTCGCCCACTTCCTTATCTGAAGGCAAGAGAAAAAGCATGGCAAATATCAATTTTCTTTTTGAAGTATAAGGTAAGTATGGACTCCCTGAGTGTTCATTATTATTGTTATTGTTTCTCCTCAGGAAGAGCCAAAATTTTCAAACTGGAGAGACTTTGAACACGAAACATTTCCTGGAGAAAGGGTTAAGTGAGAAACTGAAATACCTGCGTGCGTTTCTGAGGCTCTCCACTGCACCTCCAGGACAAATAAGGATGAGTTGTCAAGTTAAATATAAGCAGTCAAGTGACTGAATTATAATTTACTCTGTGCTCAATTTAAATTAGTGTGAGGCTATTAAAATATACAGTATAAATACGGCAATTCATCACAAGCTGTCATGGATGACTTCATTTATTTGCTGGAGTGGCACACGCTCCAGTAAAGGGAAGGAGAGCAAAATCACAGGTCAAATTAAGCCGCTATTCTGTTTTAATTCTCTTATTTAATCTGTGGTGACATAATTGTCTTCTACAGTATGTACAACTCAGAAAGGAAATTTGGGAGGATTACAGTCAGTATACAAATGATTAATCAAATGGTCCATTTAAATGCTAGTTTAAAAGCAGCAGAAACCCAAAGCAGTCAGAGAATGATAATCAGCACATGCTATACACAATGCTAAGAAATTTCCAGTTAGATGGATTTTTCCCAATTAGAAAATAAACAATACTAGGTCATCTGTTAAGCTCTACTCTTTGAAAGATTTTATAGACTACATTAAAGGTATAAGAAGGTTCTGTTTGCAGGATGGCTAGCAGTAGTTTTATTTGGTTTCTGCTCTACTTGTTTGCAATAGTCTTACTACACATCCCCCTGAAAAAACAGCTAGATACACATTTCATGAGTTATGTACAGACATTATGAAATAGTTATTTTTAAAACACGATCAGCATCATTTTGAAAATGCTCTCTTCACGGCAAAAAGTTTTCTTAATTCAGTGGTATAAAATAAAAATTCAAGATACTTCTACCCTTCCCAAAATTCAACTTGCTTTTAAAATATCTCATGATATTTTCCCACCTTTGAAGTCTGAAAAGGGAAATATTACAATATGCTTTGTCTAAAAAACAAGAACATTTAGACGTATAAAAATAGAAACATTTTGAGTAGGAAGTGAAGAGTAACAGATTTTCAAGGACTCTCATCTCATCGCTCCCACAGACATTCAAAGTGTGGGTCCAACTGACCACTTAACTGGGGAAATTAAATTTCTCTCATCATTCTATGCAGGTGTGAGAGCTCTGCAGGTGATTCTGTTTAGACAAGGACTGTGATTTGCTGCTCTTCACAATCCCTCTGTGACACCAGGCAGCCCTGTTTCACAGCTGAGGTCACTGAGAGGTTCAAGTGACATGCTTGAAGTCACACAAAAGTCAGGAGAGGGTCAGGAAAAGATCAAATGCACTTCTAACTCTTAACCTTTCATTTCACCCTTTAATATAAAAAAAGCTAAGAATACTCTGGGTGAGAGCAATGGTCCATACAGAACACTATGGGACATTTTGTTTGGGAGCTAAACCTCCTTTCAAGATGCTACTTCAAAAGATGAATGAACAAACTAAAGAACAAACGAAAGAACAAAATATATTTATTCAGTCAGTGATTCAACAAATTATGTTTTGAACATCTAGTCATTACATGTAGTGTTCAGTACTAGGCCCCATATGCAAGGTCCTGCATATTCAATGAGTAAGATGAGAAGATAAATAAGATCTGTTCTCCACTTTCAGAGATTTCAACATAATAGGAGAAATGTCCATGTACACTAATAGCAAAATACAAGGCAGAATGTGATAATACCCATCAGAAACATATACAGAGAATTCTAGAGGTTCAAAGGAGAAGTGAGTGAGTGATAGATATACCATACGTGACAGGATTTATCCAAGTTCAACGGAGGAGCAGGCTTTGGAGCTGACCCTTGAAGGGTGCTAAGGATTTTGATAGGTGGAGATATGGGTGAAGGCATTCTAATTAGAGAGAAATAAGTGAATTGAAGTGTTGAAGTGAGAAAGTATCTGGGTTCAGAGAAGGTAGTGAGTTCAACTTAAGCACAGGATTCAGACACATAAGATAATGCTACAAAAGTAGGCTGATGACATACTGTGCGAGATCTTGAGTTCCATCCTATA